CCGCGGCAGGCCAGCGCCCCTGGGCACGCTGCCGTTGCGCAGGGCTCGTCGGCTCTGTTCGGCATCGCGCGGCGCCTCTGCGGCTGCGGGGGGGAACTCGCCCTTCCCCATGCTGGCTTCCAGCGCTCTGCGGGGAGGCCCGGCCTAGGTCCCGCTGGAGTGCTGGGCCTCCCCGCCTTTCGCACGGGGTCTGACGGGCTTTAGTGATGGGCCTGCGTGGGGGTGGTTTCCCTTTTTAAAAACGGAAGACGCTACCTGACAGTTTGACAGACTCCGTATGGTGTCCTGTGCTTTTCAGGAGAGCTCTGCACAGGTTGTTTTAGCTCAGATATTTTTGCCACTCGGTTCCTTTATAATACTGCAGCTATTGCTGAGTCAGCCAGCAAGAGATGGGAAATCTGTGCTGATCTAATAGATGATATTGCAGATGGTTGCTGTGAGCTTAGCGAGAGGTGTGACAAACCTTCGGTATTTAAGCGAATGGTCATATAGTTACGAGGCACATTAATGCTCTAAAGCATTGCATACAACCAATCTAGTTTGTTTTTTAGACGCTGCTTAAGTTTTTGGTGGGTTTGTAGTTGATTTTGTTTGCATTCTGTTTTGATTGGCAGAAATGATTGCTTTACTTAATAGTCTCCTGAAAATTTTACACTGAAAACAAAGCAAACAGGAAACGGGTGGGATTTATAAAGTAATCCATTTGAACCACCGTTTTGAAATTAAAAAAAATTATGTTAATAATCAACTTCAATATTATGTCTTGCTAATTCAAGCTATGAGTCAGTGTAGCTATACAAATATTTTAAACAGAATTAGAAATACAAGCTCATCTTGTGCATTGAAATGGTTTTTTTTTACAGCACTCTGGCAGAATCAGTGTATTAAATCTTCATCAATATTTTCTACAGATGTCACCTGCATAGCAAAAAACCCCATACACTTCAGGCAGGTTGAATAAATATGAAGGCTTTAAAGAATCCTTTTATATTAGGAGTTTCTGCCACTCAGTTAACCCCAAGAGCAGCAGTGAGTCATCCCGTGGTTCACAGCAGCAGTTAATTATAAAACATAAGCTAGTAATAGATAGTATCATTATTTTCATAATCAGATTAATGCATTTTTCTCTAATTGATTTGTGTGAAGCCATTTTACACTTAATAGTTCTGCTTAGAAATGTGAAAAATAGTATCTGAAGAAAGGTTTTGAAATCTTTCTAGCTCTACTAACAGTTTGTTAATTGCCTAGATAATTATTTCAACTGTCAGAATTTAGGAGTTGTATTACAAGTTTTAGGGCAGGTAGGACTATATAGTCATGTAGTAAGTACTAATCCTGATTTTCCTGAAATAGAGTGTATTCAAAATTATTCATATTTTCATAGGACATTGCTATGCCTTGTTTTTGCATTGCTTCAAACTCTAGCACTAAGATATTCCTCTGGCTGTGTCTTGTTTTACTTTTCCTAACCAAAACACACCTTCCATTTTGCTGAGGAAAAACTATAGGAAATTTGGAACAGTTTTGCAAGAACATGAATTTATAAAATGGTGTGTAGTATATTGCACAGGGAAGAACAAAGGATAATGTTGACTTTAAAAGGGAGTGAGTTTATTTTGTTTAAAAAAAAAAGGCTTTCTGTCAGGAAATAGAATAATTTATTCATAAGGCAGGCAGTCCTCTCACTGATTTTCCCTGTTTGGTTCCATGACCAATGAAAATCCTTCCACACCTTCACTGCAGAAAAAAGATATATTGGTGCTGTTGGTTGTCATTGGATTGAGGTTGGCATTGGTAGGAAACCAAGATGATGTTGGTATCTTCAGGATCACTAAGCAGATAGATTTGCCCTGTCTGTTAATTTTGCCATTGAATGACAGCTTCATTTTTTATGTCCAAGTGAAAGAATATCCTTGATTAACTCATCTAAAGGTACAGTACAGAACAGATAAACTAGGATGTGGTTTTTGTAACTGAAGGATGTACAGAACATCTGTGTTCTGAGTTAAGTGAAAGAAAGGTGTGAGTGTCCTGGTTTCACCTGAGATACAGTGGAATGTTCCATTTTTTATAACTTCATGTGCAGTGTATGGATGAGGGTGGACCAGGAAGCGGATTCTCCCTTCTGGGATTCTCACTTCCCTGAGATGGCTAGCCGGGAACGGGCTGGGCATTGGTCAGTGGGTGGTAGGCAATCACATTGTGTTACTCATTTGTATATTCTGTGTTTTTCAGTCTGCCAAGCCTCTCCATGTTTATATTTTAAGCATCATCCCCCATGCTAAAGGGGTTTTAACTAATTGGCTTGCTTGATTGTAGCACATGTCTCACATTCATGGATAGCCTGTGCAGTAGTGTCCATGGTTAAGTCCATCCCTTAATCACAAGCCCATCTATCTGTTGCATCCCTTCCCTGATGGCCTGAGGAGTCATGGGCCCAGTGAGCAAGCAGTTTTTCACCTTTATGTTGCCAGTGCAGATCCACTCAAGCCACCTTAATCTTAGCAGCTTGATCTACCTGTTGGTTGTTCTGATGTTCTTCAGGGGCCCAGCTCTTGGATACCTGATCATCTATGTGACATACTTTCACAACCATGTTCTGTACTCGAGCAGCAATATCTTGCCAGAATTCCACAGCCCAAATGAGTTTACCTCTGCGCTGCCTGTTGCTCCATTTCCACTGCTGTAACCACCCCCACAGGGCATTTGCCGCCATCCATGAGTCGGTGTAGAGACAGAGCACTGGCCACCTTTCTCGCACAGTGATACCCAAGGCCAGCTGGGTGGCTTTTACCTCTGCAACTGCCTCGATTCTCCTTCATCTTGAGCAGCTTCTGTGGCCTGTTGTGCGGGACTCCACACAGCAGCCATCCACCTTCGATGTTTCCCTACAATGGACAGGACCTGTCAGTAAACGGGGCATATCACTTCTCATTATCCAGTAGTTTATTATGTGGTGGGGCCTCTTAAGCACGTGTCAAGTCTTCCTCCGGTGCATTCCAAAATCTTTGCCTTCTGGCCAATTTGTGATCACATCCAGTATTCTTGGGCAATTGGCATTTCCTTATTCTAACCTGCTGTGTGATCAGTGTGACCCTTTTACTCCACACAGCATCAGTTGCATGGTGTATAGAAGGGACCCTGGCTTTGAACACCTAGCCCTGCACTGGCAGTCAGGGTGCCAGGAGGAGCTGTGCTTCAGTACCAACCATTTCCAAAGCAGCCCGAACCCCTTCGTATGCTGCCACTATCTCCTTTTCAGTTGGAGTATAGCAGGCCTCCGATCCTCAGTATCTGTGACTCCAAAACTCCAGGGGTTGGCCTCGTGTCTCCCCTGGTGCTCTCTACCAGAGACTTCAGGTAGGTCTGTTCTCCTCGGCTGTGGTGTAGGGCACATTTCTTGACATCTTGTCCAGCCTGGACTGACCCCAGGGCTACTGCATGAACTGTTTACTGTTTAATTTGTCCAGAGACTTGCTGTTGCTCAGGGCCCCATGTAAAATCATTCTTTTTCTGGGTCACTTGATAGAGAGGGCTTACATTCGGTCTGTAATGTGGGAAATGCATTCTCCAGTATCCCAAAACGCCAGACAAAGCTTGTGCCATTTTTGCTAGTCAGTGGGGACATAGCTTTTGTTCTATTAATCATGTCCATTGGAATCTGACGACGTCCATCTTGCCAAATATTCCTAAAAACTGAATCTTCTGTGCAGGTCTCTTGACCTTACTCCACTTGATGGCAAAAACAGCTTTCAGAAGGATTTGGATTATTTTCTTCCATTTCTTAAAAATTTCCAGTGCTGTGTTGCTTCATACAGTGATGTATTGCACCGTCAATGTATTGCAGGTGTTCTGGAACTTCACTCTTTTCCAGTGCAGTCTGGATCAGTCCATGGCAAATGGTGGGGCTGTGTTTCCAGCCCTGGAGCCGTCAATCCCAGGTGTACTGGATGCCCCTCCAAGTCAAAGTAAACTGTGGCCTGCACTCTGCCACCGAAGGGATTGAGAAGAACATATTAGCAATACCAGTGGTGGCATACCACTTTGCTGTCTTTGACTCCAGTACCTACTGAAGCTTTAGCATGTCTGGCACCACAGCACTTAGTGGTGCTGTGACTTCATTCAGGCCCTGGTAGGCTACTGTTAAGTCTCCACTCTCCATTAGACCACATGGCTGTTAAAGAGTGAGAGAGTCCTGCTGATCACCCCTTGGCTCTCCAGTCAACAAATCAACTTATGGATAGGAACCAGGGAGTCTTGGTGGGTACGATATTGCCACCAGTGCATTGATGTAGTAGTGGCTGGCACTTGATCTTTAACCCTCAACAACTCCACAACCTAAGGGAGCTGGGAGAGACCCAGCAAGGTTGACAGCTCTTTAATTTCCTCCATCTCCAAGGCAGCTATACTGGAAGCCCCCATAGACCCTTTGGGCCCTTCAAATACCCTCTCCTGAGGTAGTCTATGCCAAGGATGCATGGAGCTTCGGAGACAGTCACAGTGGAGTGGTTTTACCACTCAATCCCTGTTAAACTCACTTTGGCTTCTATCGTAGTTAGCTATTGGGATCCCCCAGTCCCTCCAGGAATACAGATGGGTTCTGCCTCTTTATAAGTATTTTTATTCTTTATTATTTCTTTGTATACCTTTATTCTTTCCCCCTAGATAAGGGGAAAGACTCCCCTTTCGTGATTGTTTTTTTCTTGCAACACATGTACCTGCTCTTCTAAGATCAAGGCAAGTTTTCCTTCCCATTTTCTCCTGTCTTCTCCATAGTCACGCCAGCAAAACCACAGCTTCCCCCATGGTGTGTACCTTCTGTCTTTGCTGTCGTGAGCGGGGGCACGCTTACCTAGCTGAGATCCTAGTCTGTGCAGGTGGGGAGTAGGACATACCCTCTTTGAATTGTAGTAACTCCTGGGACAGTTTCTCGTCTGGTATGTCTGGCAGCCTCTCCACAGCTGTGATAAGGGAGGAACAGAGACTTCCTTTGTCTTTCCGGAGCTGGCAAGCCAATTCATCTGCCATTGGTCTCTCTTCATCTCTCCAGTCCATTACTGCTTATGTGTTGGCATACGATGATGGTGCACTCTACAAACTTCCGACACATGGGCTGGGTGCGTTGGACTTCATCTGGATCTGTGGGTAACTGCTCGTTATCCGTATCATTGTAAATCACCTCCGGCATGTCTAGTTCCCTCAGGTATTGGATACCTCTCTGCGTGGTGGTCTTCTTGCTTGGGTGACATACAACATCATCTTTGAAGGGATACCTTTCTCGCATGCCTCGCAGAAGTCACCTCCAGAGGCTGAGGGTTTCTGTCTTTTTTCCAGTTGCTTTGTTGATGCCCCCTTCCCTAGAAAAGGATCCCAGCTGCCTGGCCTCCCTACCCTCTTAATTCCCAGCTACTGCCTCCATGATCTCAGCACAGGAGCAGCCATGTGTTAACAGGCTCACCTGGACAATGGCTGAAACGCTTTTGCCGTGTCTTGCAGCTCAGTCAAGGGTAGGGACTGGGTGATGTGCTGGGCTTGTGTGGTGGGGTGTTTGGTGGTGGGGGAGGGGGCTGCAGTGGTGGCCCTCTGTGAAAAGCTTCTCAATGGTCTCCCACCAGCCCCAGCTCCAAGTCAGACCCGCCTCCGGCCAAGGTTGAGCCTGTCAGTGATGGTGGCTGCACCTCTGTAATAACCTATTTAAGGGGGACCTGGGAGGTGTTTTTAACATGTGATAACACATCTCACTCTCCCGCTCTGTCTGTTAAGTGGTGGTGGTGTTAGTGTTTGAATTAGTGATGGTCTTTTTCTTCCCTAAGCCTGTCTCATGCCCATGACCATAATGGGCAAATCACCCCTCCCTGTCCTTATCTTGATTCCCGAGCTTTTGCTTTATTTTCTCCTTCCCATTCCTGAGGGAAAAGGGGTGAGTGAGCAGCTGCATGGTGCTCAGTTGCCCTCTGGGCTCAAACCATAGCAGACGATTACTTCTGGTTCTGCCTCTTCCTCCTGTTCTTGTGATGGCCCTGGTTCATAGTCATCTCTTACAAAGCAAAATTATTTTCTTTGTTGTATTTGTTCTGTATAGGAGCAACTGATACCATCAGGGGTTGGTTCTCTGATTCAGCTGCAGCGTCTTGTGCCGTTGTTGTTGGAGTAGCTGCAGTGCTTGCTGCTGGGGTTAGAGGGGCTGCAGTGCCTGTCACTTTATTGTCACATCCAGAGACCTTCTCTTCCCCTGGAGGGTACTGATTAGTGTTGAACAGGGCTCAGCAGGCATAGCCCAGGCCGCAGCACACATTGCAGTGATTTGTGTCTCTCTGGAATTGCCAGGGTGATGGCATACTTCTTCCAAATGTCTACTATTTTTTGGGGATTCTGCACTTGTTCAAGGGTAAAACTTCAAACCATTGCAGATGCCCACTGTCCTAGGTACTTGCCCATGCTGTCCTATACAGCTTGCCACCTGTAGCTCTCCAGCCTGGGGTGGGTTTCTGGCTGATACTCTTATATAGTTCCTTAACCCTGAACAAAACCTGAACCATGTTCAGGGACATGCTGGCTCCTAGCAATAAAACTATATGAGTTTCAGCAGTCCAAGGATATTAAAAATTTTTGAAATTCTCAAACGCGATTGTAATTAGCCTGGAGGAAAAGGGGAGGGTGAAGGAAGGTGTCTCCCCCGTGGACTGGCTCTGGAGGAGAAGAGCAAAGGGTGTAACTGTTAACCCTTTCTGCTAGATGGTCCCCAAAGCACAGAGGTGACGACAGTGCTAAGTACAAAGACCGGACTAGTCCCATGACTGATAACCTTATTGTGCCATAAATCAGAGTTATGTAGTACGGCAAAGCAAAAATCATAATCCACCTCCCACGGGTGATAAGCAGCAGCATGGGGACTATATACTATATACAGCAAGTGAGGTGACGTGTAGCACAACTGTAAGAATGAGTACCAGGATTCTTAAGAGCTAATAAATCGACATTGTGACAAACAACTGTTAAGCCAGTGTAATGAATTCTGATAACAAAATTGTCATAACTTGCTCTGGCCAGATCTGTCATTATCTCAACCCTTCGTGCCCCATGTTGGGTGCCAAAAGGACTGTCATGGTTTAAACCCGGCCGGCAGACAAGCACCACACAGCCAGTTGCTCACCCTCCCCTGCCCAGGGGACGGGGGACGGGGCGAGGGCCAATTGCAGGGGTGAAGAGACTCATAGGTTGAGATAAAACCAGTTTAATAATGGAAATAAAATAATAACAACAATAATAATAGTAATAGAAAATACAAATGACTAATGCGCAATACGATTGCTCACCACCCACTCACCGATGCCCAGCCCGTTCCCGGCTAGTGATCCCAGAGAAGTGAGAATCCCAAAACCTCAATCCTAGAAGTGAGAGAGCAAGCTTGCCAGTCAACTCTTATCTATATCCTGAGCATGATGTTCTATGGTACGGAATACTCTGTTGGCCAGTTTTGTTCCAGTGCTCTGGCTCTGCTCCCTTCCAGCTTCTTGTGTACCTGCACCCTACCAGGACATGGGAAATTGAAAAGTCCCTCATTTCTTAGCAACTACTGAAAACATCAGTGTATTATCAACATCTTCTCATAACAAATCCTGTAGTAATCCAAAACACAGCACTGTTTGAGCTTCTAAGAACAAAACCAGGAGAAAGTGTTATCAAAATTATGTGTCAGGAAGATACTAGGTGATGTTAAGAGTGATGGAGACTTACTAGTAAGACCTTGAAGAAACAAGGGAGATGTATATTAAAAATAAAAGTAGATTAGGAAGGCAGGAGCAGATCATACTATACTTCAGAAGTTTAGAAAGAAATGTGTTTTATGTAGAAGGTGACATTAGTTTCGTTACTCCTCTGTTACTTAACTGGTTTGGGTTTTTTTTTCCAAGGGATGACTTGTAGAAATTTATAGAGCTCTATCTTTTCCTTGAATCTTGTAGTTACTTATTTGAAATATTCTTGTTGCAGGTTCAGTATTTATAGAGAAAGTCTTGAAAATGTTGTCCAGACTTTTTCGAATGCATGGCCTTTTTGTTGCCTCTCATCCATGGGAAGTCATAGTGGGAACAGTGACTCTCACCATTTGTATGATGTCCATGAAGATGTTCACTGGGAACGATAAGATCTGTGGTTGGAATTATGAGTGCCCCAAACTTGAAGAAGTAAGAATTTTAATTCATGTTACAGTACTTAGTGTTAATCAGTAGAATATGATTGGGTTGTGATGTTAATTATCTATGCAGACACTTTTTTATTGCCTTCTTTTCCCATTGTGTACAAGCAATGATGCGTGACAGAAGGTTTTCATTATATCTATCTTTCAGTTGCTCAGTAGCTAATGAACAAGGACTTTATATTAATAGTTTGCAATATTTTAATTTTTTAAGACTGACTAGTAGTGATAATTACTTTATTCTTAGATGCCATCTTTAGTACAGCTTCACAATGGATTTTTTATTACTGAAACTTAACAAGTTACTACTTAGTGTAAAAGCTAACTAAATCGTTTTGTATTTCAAACAGGATGTTCTGAGCAGTGACATCATCATTCTGACAATCACACGCTGTATAGCAATCCTTTATATATATTTCCAGTTTCAGAACCTAAGGCAGCTTGGGTCAAAATACATTTTAGGTACTGTATATAATTTTTGTATTTGCTGTATGCATTTTTACAGTGTTTTTTAATATAAATTGGTAATAAATATTAGAATTTAACACTTACGTATGTAAGAGGGTTATTTTAATTATTTGCCAGATAGCAAAATAAGTGTTCTGCATAGCTCAAAGTGCAATCTTTTTTAAAGAGAGAGATTTTGTAGAATGATACAAACATTGGAAGTGTAATTCTTGAAAGAATTGTTCATTGTGTGAAACACTTAAAAATATAGAACTGTTTAAGCCAGTTTTAAATTTTGCTGATAATGAATGAGATTTATGGGGTTTATTTCTTATAGAATTACTTTGAATGCCATACAAATTTTAGATTTAAATACATGTATGAAAATACCATCTACTTCAGTTTGTATCTCAACTGCTGTTAATGCACTCTGAGAGATGATAATTGTATTTGTTTGCTTCAGGATTGATCAGGTATAGTTTTGGGGTTTTTCCTTTATTTTTTCCTTAGAATATATATAAACCAAAATTTTTCAATTAACTTTTTTTTTTTTTTTAAAAAGGTATCGCTGGCCTCTTCACAATCTTCTCAAGTTTTGTTTTTAGTACAGTGGTGATTCACTTCTTGGATAAGGAGCTGACAGGTTTAAAGTAAGTAATGAATTGTTGTTGTTGTTGTTGTTATTATTATTATTAATTTCTTACCTTTTTTTTTTCCTGTACAATAAACCTTGAATTTTAACAGATGTCTCTTTTTTTCAGTGAAGCTTTACCATTCTTCCTGCTTCTGATTGATCTGTCAAGAGCAAGTGCATTAGCCAAATTTGCACTCAGTTCCAACTCACAGGTCAGGGGGGGTGTATTTTTTTGTTTGTATGGGGTTTTTTTATTATTTTTTTGCAATGGAGCTTTTGAATTTAATTTAATGTTCAAAGAATAATATTATCACTTGGTAGGGAGTTCAAACTAGATGACCTTCAAGGTCCCTTCCAAGCCAAACCATTTTTTGATTCTGTGAATAATCCAGGTGGAGAGACATACAGGTGAATACCATATTGGTGATATACAAAAAGGATTAGATTTAATCTGGATTCTGTGTTCTCTTGTCTTCAATCCAGGTCAATGTTTAAATGAATAGTGACACCATAAAATTAGTGTGCATAATCATGTGAGCCAAGTTAATTGTATGTATGAGTACTTTAGAAGTTCAGAACTTTAAAGAAGCAATGCTTATGGGTTTATTAAGGAGCCTAGAGTTCCTAGACTGAAGTCTTTTAGAAAAGAGTTATTGATCGAAAAAAGTTAACTTCTATGGCTCAGCAGTATATAAAGAAATGTTACAATGTTGATACTGGAAAAAGCATATTTCTAGACAAAACCTTAGCAGAACAAACCTAGCATATATGTAGACAGAAACGTTCATGCTCTTAATGCAATTAACAGCACAACAGGAAAGATTGACAGGACATCTTGCTTATCATTGTAATATTTTTTTCCTAATATTCTAAGTTCTGAAATAAAAATATATTTATTGAAATCAATTTGTACCCACAAAATACCGTATATGGTAACTGAGCATACTAATTGTGACAAAAATATTGTATATTTTAACATACTGTAAATTAGAGTATATTGCACATTATATATCCAATATTATTATAGTGTGCTGTATATTATTTTATAATGGTTGTGAGCACAGAATTTTTAAATTCATTTTCAAGAAAGTACTTTACAAGTAGGTTTTCGGCCTTTTTCCCTCTCCTCCCAAACCGCCACCACCACCAAAACAGCAGACTTAGAGTTTGTCATGCCAGGCTTCTGGAGGAAATCCCTTTTATCCCCAGGGGAAAGTTGTAGTGTCTTTTATGTCATCTTTTCTGTCAGCTGAATCTAGAGAGTTAAGTATAAAATAAAAAAATAATGAAAGTTAGAGTACAGATACGTGGTTGCAAGAACTTTTGAAATGCCATGACATAAGTAGCTTCCATTTTATGCCTCAAAGTGTTGAAGTCCTTTTCTCTGAGGGTACTTTAATTCTGTGCCCATCAGTGTTGTAGGAGCTTAGAAAACTGGTGAGCCAAAGCTAAGAAATTAATTGAAATTAAATAATCTTGTGTAAATAAAGACTGTCAAAGTACAGTAACTTATGGTAAATAAAGCAATTAAAGCATGTATTATCTCATAATTATTAATTTTCAGTGTATGTTTTGTAAGGCCTTATCACCGTACTACTCAATGTACTAATCATGTACTCCCTTAAATTTGATTTTTATCTTTATGTTAATGTACAGAAATTTTTCTTTTTAGGATGAAGTAAGAGAAAATATTTCACGTGGAATGGCAATTCTAGGCCCTACATTTACACTGGATGCACTTGTAGAGTGTCTTGTGATCGGTGTTGGTACAATGTCAGGTGAGTGATACAGTCTAGGGTCTAAATCTTTTCCAGTTAGAAAAGACTTTTGAGATATTGAGACTTTCAAATAATAGGTGTTGATGACTTAATCCATTTAGCTATTTATTTACCGTCCTAATTAGCCCGTATTACTAGTTTTCTGCTGATATGAATAATATATATATGTTGAAGAGAAATTTGAAATGCAGATAAGAGCTTTCCTTGAGCATTGTGCAGTAGAAATGGACTTCTGTGCAGCTGCTTTTATAAAATTAAGACCTTCTATCATTCCCATCATTCCTGTTAACATCTTAGAGTAGCTGCTAAAACTTTCTATTGGGCATTCTTAAAAATTAGTTTCACTTTCAGTACATAAACACCTGTTTCATATTCTGGCAAAAAAATTAGTATTTCTGAAAATAATTTCAGACAAGGAAAGTTACTCTACTTCAGTTAAAAATAATCAATCTACTGTTTTTTACTGACCCCAACTTTTGATCTTCATCCGTTCTGTGAAGGAGCAGTTGTCTTTCCTTAAAAAGAGAACAGTTAAATGTAATAAGCAAAGGATTTTCACATGTAAATAACTAATTACTTTGTAAAATAGTCATTTTAATCCATAGTTAGGACTGAAGTGGGGTTTTGTTTGCATGTTTGGTTTTGTCTGTTGTTTTTTATGTTTGTTATTTTTTTTAAACTATCTTACAGAACTTAAAGGCATCTTTCAAAAGCACTTGCTATTCAAATCTTTTGGACCTTTTCAGGATATTGTATATTAGTAGGCTGTTTTCCTATTCTAGAAAGAAAACCCTAATTTTGGTGTAGCATAGAGTTGATTTTATATATTTTTTTTAAAGGTTTGTACTGTTAGTGGTTTCATCTTTACTAAGGCCGTTCTGTAATGCATATGCAACGTGCGTGATTGACTTCTTCTGGATACCAGGCTTGTTAAAGAGTAGGTGGGGTATACACTGTTTCTTATTGCCTGAACACTTAATTGGACATCTTTAAGAAGGGATTTTAGTACATAATGTCCGTTATTTCTTTACTTAGATATATTAAGAATTTCAGGCTTTCACTGTGAAGCTTTAAAATATTGGTGAACTGTGATTATTTGTATGTATTTAGAATTACATTTTTAAAGTTTTCTGTAAATACCATACCATAAGTATGTACCGTGCTCAGAATAAGCCAATACACAATGACTAGGTCTTAACATGCTTGTTTTTCATTAATCTAGCCAATTCATTCTATACTCTGCTGTGTCAGTTTAATGGGGGTTTTTTCTTACTTCTGCAACACTTTTTCAATTATATAGCAAGCGCATTGCATATTCAAATGTAGACATTTTCTTCTTTTATTATGTAGGTGTACGACAACTTGAAATTATGTGCTGCTTTGGCTGTATGTCTGTTCTTGCCAACTACTTTGTCTTCATGACCTTCTTTCCAGCTTGTGTGTCCTTGGTATTAGAGGTAAGACCAACTTCAAGATAACATCAAGCTTTGTATTTTGACCCTGTGCTTCTTGTAGGCTGTACATTTCTTCATGGAGTTATAGGTCAGCATGTTTGTCTTCCTTTCAAAGTGAACAGATGGAATGTGCAATAAGATTTATAGTGGCTCAGCTGATAACAGTAACTTGTTAATGCCACTGTAAATGAGTTACAGTCAATGAGTTCTGATCTAAAGCAGAGTAATTATATTGCAAATTATTGGCTGTCCAAGGTTTTTCACTATTTAAAGTCTAACGTAGGCTACACAGTAGACCGTAGGCTAACTGTTTTGGTGGAAATTTCTTAATCAAATAAAAATATAATGTGGAAGCTCGCTTGTTGGTTCTTCTAATATGTACTAAATAGGATCTATTTTAAAATTTTGTTACTTTTGCAGCTTTCAAGAGAGAGTCGTGAAGGGCGCCCTATATGGCAGCTTAGCCATTTTGCTCGTGTTCTGGAAGAAGAAGAAAATAAGCCAAATCCTGTAACACAGAGGGTCAAAATGATTATGGTTTGTGGCTCTTTTTCACCTGTGGTTATGCAATCAGTAAGGTGTCCTGGTGCAATGTATCAAGCTTTTGTTTTCTACAGACTTGTATTCAGCTCTTAGTCTAGTTTACCATGGTAATTTTTAATAACAACCCCTGTATCCACTCCTAAAGCCTTCCTGTGTGTGCCATTTCTGTGCTAAACACTCAAGGCTTTTTCATGTGTACTAATTCCTGCCCTCTTGCCCCTACAGTATCCTCAGCTTCCTTTGCTTATTACTTGAGCAAGAGGAAGGATGTGGTGGGACAAGTTCAAAGCTATGAGTGTTACAACAGACCAGAAAAGATGTTGATGAGAAGTGTGGAAAATCAGCCTTTAGCTTTAGACTTTTGAGGCGTGGGAAACAAAAGAATCCCAAAACCCCAAACAAACGATAAAAGAAAATGTTTAACCTTAGTAGGTTAGATGCCTAGTTACTTTTGAAAAATTAATATTTGTTATGTTGTCTTTTGTTTTTAATACAGTCGCTGGGTTTGGTTCTTGTTCATGCCCACAGTCGTTGGATAGCAGAACCAGCTGCTCAAAACAGTACTGTAGAAAATTCAGTGGGATTAGATGAGAATGCACCAAAGAGAATTGAACCTAATGTTTCCTTATGGCAATTCTACCTTTCTCGGTAGGTGACTTCACAGAAGAGAAGTGTTTCCTTTATTAGGGTGTATTTTTCAGTGCTGCCAAGCTATGGTCCTAGGATACAACACTTGTAAACTTGCTGGTCTGACCAGTGTAGGATTTCTTGGAAACAGAGATGATGTTTCATAAGAATTACTTCAATATTATGCTGTTTGTCCAATCTCCTTGAAGTAATTGAAGATTGTTCAGGAGCCAGCTGTCCTGCATGCATTAAAACACTGCCTTTTTCCACTAGCACTGACAACTTTCAGAGCACACTGAAAAATACATTTTCTGACTGCACTAGAGTAATTATTATGCAGAGCTTCTGATCATTCAAGTGCAAAAAGTGCAAAAGCCATGTCACTATTGCTTTTCCTTCAGCTCAGCTGAAGTTAGCAGCACCTCTGGTTCCATATTACTTCTGAAAACTCAGAACTGTCTGGTTTACGTTTTTTTTCCCCACTTAGCAGCTCAGCATGTGACATAGTAGTCATTACTGATAGAAGATGATAACTGAAACTTTCGACCTTACTGCTGGGCGATAGGTGTTACATCAATTTGATGTAGCTGTTAGTGACTATTTTACAGTAATTTTTCTTACTGGGACTGCTTTTTAGCTAAGATGCAGTAAACATTTAATGATATCTGAAAATTCTTATTTTGTTAATAATATAAAGAATTATTTCTCTACCTTAACTTAGCATACTTGAGTGTCCTGGTAGAACATGTCTTTTGAAAGGAATTTCTGTAACTGTATGAATTATGATGAAACTATTACCCTTTCTAAAGCAAAGGGATGTCAGAATGCTGTTATAAGCAACAGATTATATATACCATGTATTTACTTTTTGATTTGTCTGTTTTAGAATGGCCAGTATGGATATTGAACAAGTAATCACTCTTGGATTAGCCCTTCTCCTTGCTGTCAAATATATTTTCTTTGAGCAAGCAGAGACTGAATCCACACTCTCACTGAAGAATCCCATAACGTCTCCAGTGATGGTCCAGAAAAAGGTCCCTGAGAATTGTTGCAGGAAGCAATCTGGGCTTACGAAAAACAATCAGAAATCTAACACAGTAGAAGAAGCTTTCTTTCCCAAAGATGGAAATGGTAATTTTTAGCATTTTAAAGTCAGAACTAATTCCTGAGTATTTGGAACAAATAGTGAAATCTGTGTTAGCCTGTTATATTTGGAATCAAAACTTCAAAATTTTGTAAAACGAAGGTTCATTTTAATTGTCTTTATGCAGCTGAAGTCATAAAACCTGTATTAGCAGAGTCATCAACCAAGGCTACATTTGTAGTTGGCAGCTGCAACCCTGTGGAAGCTTCTTCATTTCTTAATGCAAAAGAGGAAGAAATTGAGTTACCTAAAGAACCACGTTCCATCGAGGAATGTGTTCGTATACTTGGAAATGCAGAGGTATTGAAAAATAACTTGTTTTTTTTTAACCTCTACTGCAACATCTGATTTAAGAATTCTTACAGTTTATTTTCCAGCTTTTAAATGATCCTGTTGATTGTAATGTAATTCCTCAGAAAATTACATAACTTTAATAACTTGGGTGGGAGGTCACGACTAAAACAAAACCCTTTCATAAGTCACTTCTCCTCCAGTCAGTCAGGGTGGAGGGGAGGGGGGAGGGGAATCAGTTTCATCATTCATTACACACGAAGACATTGAAGCGTCGTCATGTACATTTGTAAGTGGGTTTCTGAGTAAAAAGTTTGTGATTGTATCCTGGCCTGCTGTAAATCCTGACATGGATAGTTGGTTCCTTTAGATGTACTCTGACAATGTCAAAGTAGTTACCCTTTTTTGTCTGGCAACATTTAAAAGGATTTTCACCAAGAGAATATGTACTTTTTCTCCCACCCTTTACATTTCCAGAAAGGAGCAAAATGCCTTACTGATGCTGAGGTTATCAGCTTAGTTAATGCTAAGCATATTCCTGCATACAAACTGGAAACCCTGATGGAAACTCAGGAGCGAGGTGTGTCCATTCGCAGACAGATGTTGTCTAAGAAACTCCCTGAACCCTCATCTTTGCAATATCTTCCTTATAGGAATTATAATTATTCTTTGGTAAGTAAAAGGCAGACAGGTAAAACTCACTGTAAAACCATTTTCCCAATATATGGAATACATGCTTGAAGTGATGTGTATGAATTAACCCTGAGTTTGGTCAAAACTGATGTACAAGGGGAAAAAAGAAAAAGGCAAACATAAGTGTCACGTCCCGCTCCAGCGAGGGGGACAAGTGACTCAGATTCGCAAATCCCCAATTGGAGCGGACAACAAGTCTCCAAGTTCAAGCATTTATTAACTACCTACAATGCACTAATTGAACACATGATAACTGGCTAAGTACAGAGCAAGCTGTGGCAAGCAATATAATATGCTTTACACTTCTTAACAGAAAAAAGGAAAAGAGGGAGATAGAGGGAATGGGGGAGTACAGATCACCGGTCTGGGTTCCTGCGCTGCTCCTGCCGGCGAGGATTCCAGGAGGCAGCTATCTTCTTCGCTGGCATCCGTCGTCTTTGCTTCACTGCTCTCTCCAGACGGCCGGGGGGGGGGCAGGAAGAGGGGCAGAGAGAGAGAGAGAGCCCTTTCTTCTCCCCTTTGATTTATACCCACTTTCCTTGGGTCCATCCCCTAGGTCAACCCACAGACCTACGTATCCCATGTACAGGGAGGAGTAAGGTGTTTCATGGGATGATGTCACTAGCATGATCAGGACAGCCCTCGTTAGCATATTGAGGGGTGTCAACTTTAATATGCATTTCGTGGATAATGAAGCAAAGTTCGTTCACTGGACACATGGCCCTTGAAATCTGCCCAGGTGCCCCAGGGCAGAGCCGTCCCATCTCCACAGGGCTCTCTTCCTCCAGATACATCGGGCAGCCTTATCAGCTTCGGCCTCCACAGAAAGCACCCTGTGACTCATAGTTTTGTCTTGGGAGTGTTTGAGGCAAATCTTCAATCAGCCTCAACTTTTGCTTTCCCAGGCTGTTTGTCTTAGTTTTTCACAGGCCTGGTTGCTCGGCTCTCACAATAAGGCGCTACCATTTATTGCTCTTGATGCCTTCAAACTTAAGGAGGTGGGTAAGTTTTGTAGCTTACCCCAAAAATACTTCCTACCAAAGTATGCAGTTACCTTACCTCAGAAATACAGAATTCTGCTAATACTGAGCCTGAGTTCAGCTGAATGATAAAAGTTACCTTGAGCTCAAGTTAAAATCCAAGTTTATTTAAAATTCAGTATTAGGTTTTTATTAATAGTGTTTATGACTTAATAAGATTCAATACATCTGCCAAATACCAGACTTGAACAGTATTAGCTGTTGATAGCTGTAGCTGTTAGCTTTTTGAGGTGGGAATTGGTTGCTTTATGGGTAGGGTTGTGGTTTTATTCCTAAGACACATTGTTGTAGTCATGGGCATAATTTGTAACATGCAGTACTGTACCACTGTAGTGTAACCTTAATGATACCTTTTGTATTATTTTTTGTAAGGTTATGGGAGCTTGCTGTGAAAATGTGATTGGATATATGCCTATTCCTGTGGGTGTAGCAGGACCACTGTTTTTGGATAACAAAGAGTTTCAGGTGCCAATGGCAACAACAGAAGGATGTCTTGTAGCAAGCACAAACAGAGGATGTAGAGCAATACGTGTAAGTATTGGCTGATTAGCTTGAAAAACTTTCTATATTATGAAAAATATTTGGGGTGATATGGAGCATTTTTTTTTACTTCCTAAAAACTAAAATCCACTTTCGATAATCTTATTCTGTTTCCTGTGTGCTTTGATTTTTAGCTTGGCGGAGGAGCAAGTAGCCGCATTCTGGCAGATGGGATGACTCGAGGACCTGTAGTAAGGCTGCCCACAGCTTGCCAGGCTGCAGAAGTGAAAGTTTGGCTTGAAAGCCCTGAAGGCTTTAAAATAATGAAGGAAGCTTTTGACAGCACAAGTAGGTTAGTACAGTGGCTATTCTTGCCTTATTTCTTCATCTAGGACTTCTGTGGATGGTAGAAAGCTCCTAATTGGTGGGGATTTTTTGTATACCAAAATATAGGAGATAACATTTTCATTTTCACTATCCAGTGTAGTGTCAGTCTAAGAGAACAGAAGTCACTAAGGCTAGTAATAAACATTTTCCTATGATAAGTGGTAAACGACTGTATCTTAGCAAAAAATACATTTGCATTGTGTAATACTTAATACACTATTTATTTTTTCTACGCATTTAAAACTAAACATAAAAGCTTATTTGGATTTTAGTTGTCACTATGCAAAAAGTAATACAGAGTTTGGAATCTAGCCTTTCAGGTTATATTACTAATGTTAATAATTAATTTGTGACATTCCAGAGAATACAGGATAAACTAATGCTAGAACTGAAATGCTACAAAATGTAAAACACTATTAAAAATGTCTATTTCAAGCCCTGGAGGGTTTCTTTTTTAAGACTTATGATTACTTGCTTTCTTTAGGAAGATTCAGAGAAAAGTTTCCTTTTCAGTTTTGTTTCTTACGAATCTTACAAGAGTCAGCCAAGGACATATGTGTATTTCATCCAGAATCAACTTGTGCTGCTGTTTAAATGCAGTATTTCATGGGTTTTGTTTGACTTGTGGAGGTTGCACTGTTGTTGGACATAGCATGGGTTTTGCCTTGCTGTAAAACTGACATAAGAATTTCCAAAGGCCTCATTTTTAGTTTATACCTAATAGTCAGATGTTTTAAGGAATACAAATAAATTACGTTTCTGCTAGCACTTCAGGATATTTTATTTCATGAAGTCTAAGCATAGAAAACATAAAAAGGCAGTGAACATTGTAAAAGTATTTACTCGAGAAAACAATGTGCGTGGTAACTGAAGGGGGGTTTTCTGCACTGAGGGAGGAGGAACATAGCATTGTTAACAGCACTATCTGCAATGATTTTTTGTCCTTTTACCACTTAAGGGAAAAGATTAAATTCATTTTGAGGATTGTAAATAACAGTTAAATTTTCTTGCAGGTTTGCCCGCCTACAAAAACTTCTCATCAGTTTGGCTGGTCGTAACCTTTATATCCGTTTTCAGTCGGGAACAGGGGATGCAATGGGAATGAATATGATTTCAAAAGTAAGGATCAGTTCCCTGGAGTCTGTTTTAATAATTTATTTGTTTCAGAAGTAAATCAATTATAGCCTAACCAATGTGTGACTACCTGGCATGTGAAGACAGAAAGATAAGACATAGCCCTGTTTGCAGTGCTATAAAATAATAAAAATGTTTGACCTTGTCAAGTGTAAACAAGAATAGGATGGGAACGATGAAAGAAAAAAGTAACTTTGCATTTTAATTTTTTAAAAAATTATTTCAAGAAAGTATTCTTGATAATACGAAAGTTAAGCCGGTTGCCCCATTGCTTTGGGCCAAAGATTTTATCCAATAGTAATTGATCTGTTAACGAGGTTTCTCACTTCCTTGTAAATAAAGGATTAGAAATCTGGTGAATGGCAGCAGAGGGGTGTTCTCTAGTTTTGGTGCTTTGCTTTTGTTTTCATGCAAACGTGAAAGAACCTGAGACATGACCCATAGATGGGGGGATTCCTTGTGCTGTTTGAGATTAATATTGATTACCTATTATATATAAAATTCAAGTCTATCAGAACCATTACATAAATGAGTCTGGTCCTGAACAGGTACTAAATATACCAGACCTTTTGTCTGATTTTCTGATGTAGAGAAGCTCTTTCCACTACATCCAGAATGAATTCATTTCATGCCTGTAGTATTTGACTTGGTTCATGTTGTATCTTCAGTAAGCATATGCCCATTCACCTAGAATGTATCCAGAGTCCATGCATATTGGGAAGAAACCATATAATTCCCAAGATGGTTTGAAAAAAGGTAGTGATAATTGGGGTGGGGTTCTTCTGCTGTTTCAGGTTCCTTCCTGAAATTACGTTTTTCTTTGCTATAACTGATGATCTTATTAGACTTAATCTCATCCTGCTGTTCCACTGTCCTTGAGTAGCTTGTTTTGTAACCATAATGATATACTAGCTTTTTACCTGTTTCCCTTCTAACAGGGTACTGAAAAAGCACTGGCAAGGTTGAATGAGGAGTTTCCTGATCTGCAAGTTATAGCTATTAGTGGTAACTATTGTACAGACAAAAAACCTGCTGCTATAAACTGGATAGAAGGAAGAGGGAAGTCTGTTGTCTGTGAAGCAGTCATTCCAGCCAAGGTTGTTAGAGAAGTAAGTGCTTTCTTTTGCCTATTTATAAAAATGCATATATTTTACAAACTCAATACCTATCTTACATCATAAATTTAACTGTAAGTTGCTTTCTAGGTAAGGATAATACCTACATGTATTTTCAGTTACTGTAGGATAAGCCATTTTTCCTGAGATAGTAGATATTTTTTCCTTTCATTGTCTCTTCTGACATAATGTGCATATATTTAGTGATGCATATCTAGCTGAAGGCATTAGGTTTTTCACTTTTTATCTTTGAAAAATTATACCAAAGTTTGACAGATTTTTACACATGGGGTTTTGCCTGTCATTAAACCCAGTCATTCTGATCATTTCACTGTGGGAGACATCGGCCTGTCAGCCCTACACAGCCCCTGAGAAGCAGCTAGGCTTTGATGAGAAAGAGGCCTTTGGAGAAAGATAAGAAACTGCTGAGTTGTGCCAAGGTGGCAGGAAAAAACACAGACAGCTGCAACACTGAATTGTGGAAAAGTACTGAGCTGTGAGGAGTTACTGCCGCGTGAACAGCACGTGAACAAGAAGTTGATTGGTCTGCACAGCACATGTTAGAGTGGTCTTATGCTGACAGGAGAAAAGGTTGATAGCTGTCTAATTGCTGATTTGCTAATTATGAAGTAAGAGCTTTGGCGAGAGCATAAGTACATACTATTGGAAAAATAAATGGCTTTGCTTGTTATAACTGCCATAGAGTTGTGCAGGTCAAATATCCTCCCGCAACAATTTCATTTCACTACAATAAAAATGGATAATCAGGGGCTTCACTTAATTCCAAAGCTGCCTTAGCGTCTTTCAGGAAGAAGGGTAACCTTTATAAGCAGTGCCATTCTTCTCCGCCTGAGCTCAGAAGACAGGCTGTGTGCATCAGATCAAATCCATTGCCTGTTACCTGATTGCCACCACTGGCCATGAGGGACAATATGCAGAGAAAAATTTACTACACCATACTTAGCATAGTCTTCTATCTGCTTGTTCAAGACTTTCTGAATTGGTGCTTCTGTATTTGATGGATTTGTTTGTTTTCCCCCAGTAATTGGTCTAGTCCCTTTTGTGAAACCATGTAAACTTTTAGCACTAGTATTGCAGATGGAATCACACAATGCAGCACACCTTGTGTGAGAACTACCTCCTCTTTGTTGATTCCATTTGATGATGCCCTAGTTTGGTACTGGAAGAGATACTTAAGACTCTTATCTTCACTCTACGACTCAGGATTTTAAAGCTGTAACACAGGCCTTCCACCTTTCCAGCTATTCTCATTTTCAGACTGTAAAGTGCTAGTTTCTCTCTGAGGAATGAGTAAAAAGACTATTCTGGCATGTCTTTGAATATCGTTTTTTCTAGATCTTACTCAGTTCTAAAATTTATCAAATTCTGGGTACACAGTTGGACACAGTATTCAAAGTGTGTGTGCAGGATGGATTTATACATTGAAATAATTTATGTGTTTTGGGTTTGCTTCCTACTAGTTCCCTAATTTTCAAATTGTTAACATTTTTTATAGCTGATTCAGTGGCAATATCTATTATAACCCCAAGATTTCATTCCAGAGTAGTAATGGTGAGCCAATCCTTTGGTAATGGGTATGGATAGGTTTTAGGTAAATTTGGGATGTTTTTCCCCAAACCCCAGCCATGTACATCACTACATTTACTTACATAGAACTCAAATATATAAACTTTGTATTTTTTTTTCAGTGTTGTAGACTTTGTGCATATCTTTGTCATCAGTTGCTATTCCTGCCACTGGAATATCCTAAATTTTGCTCACAGCACTATGCTTTTTTGTTCTCTTTGACCATTTTTATACTAAATTCAATGTAAATCTCTTACCTGAAGGTTTCAAAGTACAGTCAGTATAGTATAAATATGCCACTTAATTTGATATTACCATGCACAATGTTTATTTACTGATGTAGCACAGCAGTTTGTGTCTGAACTCTTGTTTAGCTCTGTATTCTTATGTAGAGGGTTTAGTGTCTGGCACAACTTGGGAGGAGTGTTGCTATCATGTCAAGGTGAATTAGTGGGATATTTCTGCCAGGTTGATTTTGTTTGTTTCATTCTGAAGCTAAACAAGGATTTGAAATGGAGAAAGTAGCTGGTGAGCTTTTCTTAAAGGCCTGTGCAAGTCCAAACCCTTCACACTGACTCTCCCATTCTTTCTTGGACATTGTAGACTGCATTCAACAGGGCTCCTTTTGAACAAAAATATAAGTAGATATCTAGAACAATGATTGAATCGAATTCCATATGGAAGTGAACAAGGGGCAAGGGCTTATTAACCATAAATAGAGTATTTTGACTCTTCCCTAAGGAATGGTGTAATAAAAGTGTATCACTTTGTCTAGGTATTGAAGACAACTACAGAAGATATAGTTGAAGTCAATATAAACAAAAATTTGGTGGGTTCTGCAATGGCTGGTAGCATAGGTGGCTACAATGCACATGCAGCAAACATTGTGACAGCTATCTACATTGCCTGTGGTCAGGTAGGTTTGTTTTGCACCAATTCGGGGGCGTTTGTAGCTCGTTAATTCTTAGTTGAGTGTTCTGGTTTTTTGTTTCTCCTTCCTGATCTGAAGGATGCTGCGCAGAATGTAGGCAGCTCTAATTGCATCACTTTGATGGAGCGCACTGGTTTCACCAATGAAGACCTGTACATCAGCTGCACAATGCCTTCTATAGAAATAGGAACTGTTGGCGGAGGCACCAACTTGCTCCCACAGCAGGCCTGTTTGCAGGTATAAAGCAGAAAGTTTTAAAGCAACTTATCTTCTTAAATCAAAGCTTGCTTTCATGTTGTTTTATGGTGTCCGAGTAATGTTGTGGGAATGGGGCCTATTGAAGTTTGGTGAATTTGACATGAAAATTTTAGAATTATCTGAGGAATTGTTTTCATATATCTAGTTTCTAAAGCTTAAGGTGTTTAATATTAAAGACACTTAAAGCTAGTTGATCGGATATAGTTTGGAAAGCTTTAATACTAAATTTAGCATACATTTACTTAGATTTCATAGCATAACGCTGTATACTTTTCTCTCCAGATGTTAGGGGTTCAGGGTGCAAGCCAAGATAACCCTGGTGAGAATGCTCGTCAGCTTGCTAAAATTGTTTGTGCTACGGTGATGGCAGGTGAATTATCACTAATGGCAGCTCTTGCAGCTGGGCATCTAGTCAGAAGCCACATGATCCACAACAGGTAAGAAATGGAAAAATTCTTGTCTTCCTCTGCTGTTCTGCCCTTCTGTCAAGTACGCAAGAGTCAATAATAATTACACAAATAATCGCAGCATATAACAACAGTATAACATTTTGACTATCTAATGTAATTATCTTACTGTTTTTACTAGGTCAAAAATAAATCTACAAGATCTTCAAGGAACCTGCACTAAGAAGGCAGCTTGAATACTAAAATGGCTTTGAAATTAAGAATTGTTCTAGCAACTGACCAGATGCACAGGGGAAAAAAACCAAAATCTGTGAAGTTTAGAATGAAAATCACCTTCAACTCAATGATGTTGGTGTAAGATAAACTGAGAGATCAATGGACTTCTGTGACTATTTATGCCTTTGACCATCTTCAGTGGTTAAAGATGACTTCATGAAAGAAGTCCTGTCAGATGTCTGGAACATGGCTTCAGAATTCTTACTCTTACACATCATTTTTGAAAGGGTCAGTCATGTTTTTACAGGTTGAGATTATTTTGACTGATAACCTCCTGGTTGAGATTATTTTGACTGATAACCTCACTGCCAAGCTGAAAAGTGATGTAATGTACTTAGTACATTTAGTTAACAAAAAAAAAAGTTGGTCTAAACTTGGCTTGAATGCACTGGTCCTTGCCATCTTTATTTTCTGGTTTGACAAGGATGTCTTTTTAAAGTGATGGCAAGCCTAAGCACTTCCCGTGAACTCCTGTTTTCATTTTGTTCACCTGTAAAACTTAGGTCTTAGGCTATAAGACAATTCTACTGAATCATATCAGATTTATAGAAACCTCTGTTTATACACAGTACTTAATTTGCTGCTGCTTCAGCTAAGCAGCATTTAGTGATTTAACTCCACAATTTAGGTTATTCCTTTATGGAAAACCTGTGACCCATAAAGTTCTGAAGTGTTAAATATAATCTGTACTGAAGTAGGGAAAAACAGTGTCTTCAACTGTTTTGTTGTTTTGTTCAGGTAGAAACTGGTAACTCCAAAACCAGTTACATATTGGGTACTTAAGCAAAAGCAGTTTCTCAAACTTTCTTTTGATAGGAGTGCATTCAGACAACATAAGTCAAGAACAGATGTTTACACTTCTTTTAAAAGAAGTCTCTTAAGGTACAGTGTGTTTGTATATTCCTAATTATATTTTTTTTTTAAGTGTTTGATACACACTCCCCAGGAGTAGGTGTGTATCCACTGCTGAAGCTGAAAGAAAGTGAAACCAGAAAACCACACTGGTCTTTAACACTATGTTAAAGAACAGTGTTTTTTATGTTTTATGTTTTAATTTCTTTGAAACTTTTTGAGGGGGGAATATTTATTTTAAGAAGAAATCCTTTTTTTTTCAATGAAAAGTACTAATTAAGAGAATTCAGTGAAAACAAGCAGTTTTTGTATTAAAATACTGTACTTGGACCAGTGAAGCAGTCTCAGGTGTTCTTAATGTAATACAGAAAACCCAGGTTTATTTTGGTTTGATTCACCTTTGAGAATATTGTTAAATGCATCTCCCTGCCTAGTTAATCATAGCAGGAAAATTGTTAATATGCTTGATGATGGGGGGAGGGGGGTGGTGGTGTTTGGTTTGGGGTTTGTTTTTTGGGTTTTCTGGGGTGTGAATCAGTGGATTGCACTGGGTTTCTTGCAGGAATGCAGTGGCATTCTTAAAAGAGTGACTAGCAGAGGTGCTCTTGTGCAAATTTGATGTAAATCATGGGTTGTTTTGTAGTACATCAACACATTAATATCATTGTAATGAGCTCATAAAGCTAATGTGCAAGCATGAAGACATACTACATGCTAGATATATTATGATAGCATGTAAATATCATGAATGTTTTATCTTCCTGCAGTATTGTTGCTAATAGCTACCATTTTATTTAAAGAAAATTGAAACTACTTTGCTTCTATGTTCATTCAGTGATCTTATTTAAAGTAACACTGTTCTGGCAATAAATGGTGGTTCAGTGTTCATTTTGGTGGATTTAACTGACATTCTGTCTTGCAGAATTAACGTTTTGTATTATTACTAAATTGTGTACATTTTGGTACAGAACTACTTTTTCAGTTTCAGTAAAACCATGGAAAACATATTGACTTAATTGTGGTATTTTAAGCTTACATCATGACCTAGTGACATACTTAGTAGACAACATAAAGTAAGAGGGTTAAGGAAAATATGACTGGTGTACAGTACTAAACACAGTGGGGCTATCACACCAGCTCACCTTGCTTGCAGAAGCCTATACTCATTTATTCTCCTCAAAGCTGAATTATGCAGTTTGCCCAAGTTGGAAAACTAATTCATTGCAGCATTAGCGATACCTTCTGCCAGGGCCTATTTTTCCCCTCTTTTCCTCACTTGTAGTCCCAGCTTCCATGCTTGATCTTGGTAATGTCCATCCATCTGTATGGGGTCTGTATTCTTCTTCAGTCTCTTCAGCACTACAGGTTTTACATCAGAAGCAGAGGTTACCGTTTGAAATATGTTAGAACATTTAGGGAACTGAAGCACTCTTGTTTCTCTGCATATACCACGGTAGAGCATTTCAGCATGACTGCAGAGTTTGTGTTACAAGACTGTTTCTTGTACTGAAGCAGTGTTTTGCATCCTTGGCAAAACCAAACCAGCTGTCTGGAATGAAGTTTCTAGAGCTGCTGTAACCTAAATGCTATACTGTTAAAGCCCTAGAAAAATAGTAAAAATGTATTTCACTCTGGTTACTAATTTGCTTCTTTCTTTACCTGGATGACCTTCTTTCTTCTCTATGTCCTGCACGTAGTTTATCCCTGCTACACACCAGTCCCCTTCCTGCTGTCTGACATTAAAGTTTCAGAGCTGTTAGACAGCTGGAACTGCAGAGCTTCCAGTTACACAACTCTTGCCCACTTTGATTTGTCTCAGCCAGCATAGGACCTTACAAGTGAAGTGTGCTTTCCCTCCTCTTCCTGATGGAAGGAGTGGCTTCCGCTCACACAGCGCAGGGATGCACACCATGTCCATCCTCAACATACCTGTAATACCAGAAGTCTGTAGCGGCTGCTGCCTTGGTGGTAGGACAGGGGTGTGCCAGCAAGCAACTCTGCACAGGCATTGCTGAGCACCACGTGCTAGTTCCCAGAAAAGAGTAGCTGGGAGCCCACGTGCTGTGGTTTAACCTCAGGCACCAACTACACCACACAGCTGCCCCCTCCCTCCTCCCAGTGGGACTGGGGAGAGAGTTAGGTAGAAAAAAAGAAAAAAGTCAAACTCAAGTGTTGAGGTACAGTTTAATAGAACAAAAAGGGAAGAAAATAATGGTAATAATAATAAAAATGATAATAAAAGAATTAGAATATGCGAGACAAGTGATGCACAATGCAATGGCTGACCACTTGCCAACCACTGCCCAGTCAGTTTCTGAGCAGCAGCCCCCAGCCAGCTTTACTCCCAATTTTATTGTTCAGCATGATGCTGTATGGTATGGAATATCCCTTTGGCCAGTTTGGATCAGCTGTACTGCCTGTGTCCCCTCACAGCTTCTTGGGCCCCTCCAACTTTCCCACAGAAAGGGTGTGAAAAGCTGAAAAGTCCTTGACTTAGTGGAAATACTACCTAGCAACAATTAAAAACATCACTGTGTTGTTAACATTATTCTCATACTAAATCTAAACCACACCACTGTACCAGCTACGAGGAGGAAAATTAACTGTATCCCAGCTGAAACCAGGACACTTGCTTTCTCAGAGGAGCATTCAGGTATATCTGGGCTCCAGGTGCACAGCGCCATTTGGACAGTTGTCATCCTTGGCCTGAACCCTGCTGATAAGGTTAACACAGCTCTGAGAAAAGCTGTGGTAGATGGTCTGTCCTCCAACTCCTTTCAGATGCCTTTTGGGATGGAGTGAAAGCTCTTGCTACTCACAGTGATTTTAAGATAGATTTTCACCTCCATCTCTTTTAGGGCATAGCTTACCAATTTTGAGGTTGTGTCTTCTTCCCTCTCTCCGTTTGGCTTTGGTTAGGGAAGGTTTACACTTCATGATGACACTAGCTGAAACAAGACGACAGCTTGGCCTTCAGGTGGTGTCTATCTGGTGAGATCCACAACAGCCAAATAAAGATCAGCTCTTAGCATCACAGAATGGTTTGGGTTGGAAGGGACCTCAAAGATCATCTAGTCCCAACCCCCCTGCCGTAGGCAGGGACACCTTCCACCAGACCAGGTTGCTCAAAGCCCCGTCCAACCTGGCCTTGAACACTGCCAGGGAGGGGGCAGCCACAGCTTCTCTGGGCAACCTGTGCCAGTGCCTCACCACCCTCACAGGAAAGAACTTCTGCCTTACCTACTTTATTCTTCTGTGCAAGAACTGTATAAGGTCAGTCCATTTTCATAAGCGGGAACACCAGGATGAAATAACCATGCCATAAAAATAATGCCAGTGACCAGTCTTCTGGGACCAGTGGGTGAAACACCAGACCTAGGCAAGTCTATCAAGCTCAAAGCAAGACCAGTCACATAGGTCTGTAGCTTCTAGCTCTCCACCTGGTACCACAACACCATTTGCCAAATTGCTTCCCACTTCCCTTGTAATGAAATGCTGGTCTCCAAGAGCAGATAAAAGGCAATCCTAGAGTACATGTATGCCACAGGCTGTGTCATCATCAATCCGCAACCTCAGGCAAGCAGTCACCATGTAAAGTTGCCCTAAAAACCTTAACTTCACCCTCAAAACAAGTGGGTGATGTTGCTACCTTCTTTTGCCCAGCACTGATTGTTCAATCAGTGTTTTGCCCACAGCCCACACCCAATCAAGCTGCTTTATACACTGTGCATGGGCATAACCATACTGCCAAGGATAAAACTTCTTTAGAAAATGTATTTGAAACAAGCCAAGTACTAGTGTAGCAGTGTGTACAGTTCAGCTCCTTTCACTTCTTTTATATGTGAGAGCTGGCATAAGTCTGTGTGAGCTGGCCCAGTTTGAAACAGTTAAAATTTATTCAACTTTTGAGAGCAATGGCTTTAAAGGAATGCTTCGTTAGTGAAAAAAATGGACAGGTCTATCAGGCACATGGAGAGACACCACTGCTGGCAGAGTTTCTGGCTAAACAGAATTGCACTTTTTCAGGGTTAATCTTGGTTTTCCGATGTGAAAATTATTTCTGGTAAGTCTTAAGAGTTGGACACTCACTAAAGAAATGTTCTCACAGCAGTTTCTTTTAACATTTAACAAAGCACCCTAAACTGGTCATTTAAAATCCAAGAGACACAGTCATAGTAGCATAGAAAACTAGATGCGGCTTTAGTTTTTGCTTTGGTAATACTAGTTTAGGAACAGGGCCAAGTCTGGAAACCACCAAGGCTGGCCAGCTCATTGAACTCTCTCACTTGAATAGTCTTCCTGCTTTGCAAGGTAGAGCGGAATGAATCATAATGTGTATTATACTGGGGCTGGTAATGTCATCAATTACCTGATGTTTGTTGTCTTCTCTTACTGTCTTTGTGCTGTAGTGTAGTCCCTTTATTTAAGGTAGTCCCTCAGCTATTGACACATCATTGCCTGTAGTGAAATGGCTAAGAACAACCCAGTGTCCTTGAGTTACCTGTTAAGACAGAAAAATCACTTATTGACTAATCCTAGCCTTGAAATTTTGTCGACAACTTAAAAAAATAAATTATGCAATTAACTCATTATATAAATTGCCTGTTACATAACTGAATGGAGTCATTCATTTCATTGCACACAGATTTGTGGCGTGGAAGGCTTTTTGCTATTCACCACCAGCGAATGGAGAGTGCTGTACACTTAGTCTGAAAGCAATTGTGATTGATAAAGGTGACAAAACCAGGGATTTGGACCCAAAGCCTCTGAGATGAGTGAGAAAAACAATCCAAGTTTTAGTAACAAGGAAGAAAAATCTTTTTAACTAGTTTATATCCAACTGACCGTCCATACTGTTTGTGTTATTTCAGTGTGTGAACATGGCTGGATTGCACATTTCATGACATTTCCCTGCAGAAGCTCTGCCAGGATGGCTCTGCTCTGTGCACTTGACACCCCGCACAGGCACCCCATTTCCCATGTGTATAAGAATGTATACAGCCAGGTGTATAAGAAGGATTTTAAAGGAAGTTGAACAGAATTTAGGTAGGTGGCTGGGAATAAGATGTTTACCCTCCATTTCTGCTTCTTTCCACCTCCCCATCTGTCTGACCAACTGTTCTTTCTGTGCTGTGTCTCATCTTCTGCAACTGCAGAATTTAAGATACCTTTAAGGTATGGCAGTGCACTATAACGCCTCCAAGCTCACGGTGACAAGCAGCTCAGCAGCTGCAGGACTATGTCATTGCTGTCTTTTAAACGACTGGTGGACTGGTGAGGGGATTTGGAGATGTTGGCAGGGGCAGGAGGGGAACCACTTTTGCTCACCTATTTTGTCCAGTCCTACAGGAGGTTTGCCCAGGTTGGGATAACGTGTTTCTGCATTGCACTATTGCATAGCTCCTTGGATTATGGGGCAGAAGTAATTGGTGTAGCTGCAGCTGGGGAATTTAAAAGAATTTGCATTTCAAAACAGAAAAGTAGACATCCTAATTTTTTTTCAGCCATTTGTACTAATGCTCCCATGCACCTCAGCTAGGCAGAAGAGGTAATCTGTATCACCACAGAAAGAAGTGAACCTCAGAAACTATCCCTTGTGCAAAACTAAGGTGCATTTTTTACTCATTTTTACCTCTATCTTTCTCAATACCTATTCTTTCATTCTAGCTGCATTATGACCACATTGACTAAAGCTGATCTGTACATAAGAGAAAACCTACTTTTTGCTCTTAGCAGTGTAAGGAAGCTTTTAAACCATCACCCAAACCTTTTGTTGACCATTTTCTCCCTTTATTTCAACACAGGCCTCTTATCTGCGATCAGGGAAGGACATACAGTGCATAAGCACTGTGGCAGCTATCTGGGGTGCAGCTGCAGCTTCAGCAACAGTCAGGTCCCTCCTGGATTGCGCTGTGCCCCTGAAGTCACCCCAGTTCAACCGCATGGCTGTACACCAAACTAGCTCTGGTGTATGAGGCTGAAACAAATTATTACTGCCCTGGGAGAGTACTCTTATGCCATTTCTCATTTTCAGGTGTTTGGCTTGTGCTAATATTTTTATAATTTATTTAGAGGTGGGGGTCACCACCACTGCTGATAGAGGATATCGTTATACTGATAAAGGAAAGACAGACATACTACTTTCTGTGCAGTATGAAAGCTTGTTATAAAAACTGCTAAAGAAAAATTTATAACTCTAGTTTGGGGATGTGCAGGACTAAATGTAACTGATACTTTGCATTTCTGCTTCTTTTTGAAAACGGAGGGCTTTCCGACTAGAAACAGCGCAAAACCTGCTGTGTCCGGATGACAAACGCGGCAGGCTGGATTTCTGCCTTTCCAAACCAATGCATGGCTCCTATTTCACCCCCGATAAGGCCGCAGGCGCGCCACGTCGTGGTGCCCTGACCCCTTTGCTGCTGCACCTTCTCGTAGCCCAGCGGACCGGCACCTGCCGGCTGACAGGCAGCAAGGGACCAGCTGCGACACTTCCACAGGTTTTATGCCTGCACCTTCCGCTGCGCAGGAGACCGGAGGGGAGGCCCAGCGCTGCGGATACAGCTAACGGGGGAGCGCTCCCGCCGCCCCGACAAGCCGGCGCCGCGCACCGCTCCGCCGAAGCAGCGGCGACCCCACAGC